CCCCCCTCTCTTTGTTTTTGTTGCAGCAGGTGTGCCAGAAGAATGTACTAGCCTCTACCATTCAACTTTGCTTTTTAATGTGTTGATCAGTAAAGGCAATAGTATAGTGTATTTAAGACTGCTGAATGAAGCGACTAAAGTGTGTCAATAAAGACTCATATCCAAATTTAAAAAAAATAAATTTGTATTTTTGACATTAAAGCCCTCCAAATCACAAGTACTTTCAAGTTAGTAATAACAGAGCAATGGGAATGAGTACACCCATATGGAATAAATATAACTATGTAGTAAAGAATTTTACCTCAAAATACGTAAATTGCTAATACGTAGTTAAAATACACAACAGGAGCGCAGAAGCACATTCAATAATCTGTATACAGTCATTAAGTAGTTCATATAATAAACAGTCAAATCATTTGAGTAAGATAATTTTAAAACTTAACTAGAGAGCATTAAAGCCACTATAAAAAGTATTTTTTTTTCTGGGGTAATACTATTGACTAAACTCATCAAATTATGAGTACCCAAAAATTACACTTTTTCTATCTTAATCAATTTCTGTACTTGGGGTCAACAAGTACAACTTCTTAACAAATGCCTAAAAATCATAGGATTAACATATTAAAAAAAAAAAAAACACTGAAGTTAGACTTCTTAACAACAAGACTACTGGAGGGAATACATGCTTCTATGACAAGTAGTAAAAAAAAAAAATGCCGTTTACTATTTCTCAGACACAGCTTTCTCAAAATCATTATGTAAAAATAAATAAACTTAAACAATGAATATTGCACACTCTTTGGTGACTCAACCATTATATAGTTGAAACATTTTGTCTTACTATATAGTACTATCAAGACATTAGAACACAAGTTGACAAGATACAACAGTAAATCAATAGAAATAAATTCATTTTTAAATGTTGACATAGAAAAATAGGTTGACATAGAATATTGACTAGGAAATATTTCCTAACTGGTACTCTGACACTTTAATACAAGCATCATTTTAGAGAAAAGGATAGTTAATTACAACTTATGCATAAAAATGGATTTCATTGAAATTTAAAAGCTACATTATACTCAGGAGGCAAGTCAGGGTCTTCATCCATAAGATCCTTCGCAGTTTTCAGATTTAAGTAGAAGTCGTGGTAAAGAGGATTTATTAAGTTCCTCAAGCTCAATAAGTCAGTTTTCTTCGCTTCAGATATAGGACAAGGAGTATTTCTCTTTTGGAAAAGATCTATTTCTGGGAGAGGCTCATTTCTTTTTCTCTTCCAGTTGAGAGTGAGGAATGGTTCCTCCTCCTGAAGAGATTTTTTGTACAAAATTATTCCAGGAGATTTTTTCTGAAATCTGAACCATTCTGCATCACTAAACAGAAACTTGTTGCCATCAGTGTCACTTTTCCGCCACACTAGAGGAGCCTCGGTGCCTAAAATGGTGGGTTCAAAGTTGAAGATATCTGTTGCTTGCATTTCCTTCACTTTGTATTTCTTGTTTGTGGGACCCACTTCTCTGACAAGGTCAAAATAATTTTGAGGGTGATGGAGTGGTACATTAGTTTTCTTTTTTCTAGTTTCAATTTGATGGTGTACCTGATCACATTCTAAATGTGTGTGACCAGAGACAAGGAATTTCTGATCAATCGTTTCAATTGATTCGTGCTGCTGCACAGTTATTGTCAAAGCAGCAATCATGAGGCTGTTTTTATTCTGACCGCTACATGTGTCAGAATACATGATTACGTGTTTCACAGTTTCAGGCAAGAAAGAACTGAAATAACAAAGAAGACAAGATGCGATTTCATCTGCACCTCTACCACCAATCGCTTCGTGCCACATGAAGTTGAAAGCTTGCTTTGTTTCTGTCACAAACACCGTAAGATTGTATACACTCAACTGACGCAGATAGAACACATTGCCACTCGTTAAGTAGGGGCAAGGAAGAACTTGTTCTAAATCAAAAACAATTGTTGAGATCACCTGTTTTGAGGATTTTGCAGATTGCTTGTCTTCTCTTTTGCAAGTATAGGCAAATTCTGCTCTGCTAACATGGAGGTCTAACTGCTGCTGCAATGTTTCTTTTTCCTCTGCTGAATGAGAATGTTTGATGCCATTTTGAAGGGAGTCACAAGTTTCACATGTGTCTACTTTAGGAGACTTAAACTTAAGTTTTGGACGAAGACTTTTGAAGATTTCCAGGTATGAATTGTATGATATTTTCGTACCATTTTCTTCTAAGTATAACTTATGCATGATCGAAACATTCAGGTTGGAGCCAAGGTAGAGCTGCTCTGAGTGACGTCTACTGTAGTGAGATATGTAGGCAGGGAATTTCCTTATGTGTGTTATTACCTCCTGCCTGACATCATCAGATAGTTTGTTTGATGGTGGGTTTTTGCCTCTTCTGTCGTCTGGGACTTGTGCTGAACTGCTCCGACGCTCTACCACACCCCTCACAAACCGATCATTCTCATCCAGGGTTGCCAAAAAGCACTGCTTGCTGACTTGGATCCTTTCTTGATTGTGAATCAGGGAGTATTCCAGAGTACACGTTCGCTGTTTTTTTGCTGTTGTTGTAGTTGTTTTAGTATCTTTCTTCTGTACCATGTTTGAGATATACTGAGTTCTTTTGTTGTAACTTCCTAGTGCCCAATACTCTTCAAAAATTTCCTTTCGTTCTTCCTCTGAGAGTTTTAATATGAGGCACCATGTAGCTTTACATTGAGGAAGAGGTCGAAGAGTTTTCTTCTTAACAACCTTCCCTGTTGATCCTATATAGCTTTTCCCAGAGTTGCGAAGTTGAGTAATTTTGCTTCTTTCACATCTTGTTGTGGCCTTGCCTGTTGCAGGTTCATCAGCATCATTATTGTCAGAATCTGCATGCTCATTACGTTCTAGAAAAAAATACATCAAAAAATAAAACCTTATACTAACACAAGAATTTTTTTTCAGGGGAGTCAATTAACATTAAACAAGAAGCTTACCGTCAACAGGATTATGGTTGGAGTGAACTGAAGGAGGTTTGCTGCCCACATTGGAAGCTTCGTCTGACATTTCATCAGAGATATGAGACCCAGAGCGTTCTCTGTTTTGACCAGGCAGCCACTCTTCATCATCCCCATCAGAACATTCCCCAAACAATTCTTCATCATCAGTCCCATCAAAATATTTCTTTTCTGTTTTTTTCCTCAAATTAACATGTACTGCAAAAAAACAAAGCAAAGTCAATAACTGATAAAAATTGAAAAATTTCAATTGAATGCAAGCTCCGACAAGCACACATGCTGGACCCGATAAATTAGACTCCTTCCCAAATTGATTTAAGTACATTTTTTGACAACTATCAAACTTGGCTTAATTTTTGTCAGTCCTTAAAAATTGATTGTTGAAGTAGAGCAAAAATTCACACTGTGGGGCATTTCAAATGTTTTTCATTATTGGAATGAAATTAGTGCATCTGTTCATTTAAACAGATAGCTCGCCACCAAATGATTTGTAAGAGTACGCCAACTAATGAGGGAGCACGCAATATGACTATCAACTAAACAGAGTTGTATTGCATAATTACCTCCACTGATTAGTTCTGTACCTTTTGGTGCAATTTCTGATGTAGCCAAACTAGAATCTTCCTCCTCTGATAAGAATACATCAGGGGTGGGTACTCTCACTAAAGCTGTACTACCTGAAAAAATAGGACAATTAATTACAAAATCTGAAGTTGTGTGGCAAATTTTTACTTAGAATTATTTTGATTGAAATGTTGGCAATACAAACCTTTCTCTTTACTGCTATCTATTTCATCTCCTGTTTCAGAGTCAGAGGTATTAGCTTTTCTAAGGCCACTACAACGGGCTAAATTCAACAAAGAAAAAATTGACAATAAAACACCATTGGGCTACAAAATTTTCATGTACACATGTCAGATTAAATTGTTTTGATTACTAACCTGCTTGATCTTTGCTGCCATCTACGCCCTTTATTTTTGTAGATTCGGAGGTACTTTTCAGGCCACTATGGCGGGCTGAACGCTTGCTGGGACTAGGTCTTGTAGTCCCTTTGACTAAATCCCTACAATCTAAATTCAACACAGACAAAATTGGCAATGTATAACTACATTAGACTATCAGATTTATATTCATACATTTATGGTTAAAATGTTGTTATTAACTATTGATGATATAAATATTGTGATTACAAACCTGCACGGCTGATGGCAGGAGGTTTATCTGTGGTGATATTTGTTTTCTCTCTGCTTGTCCTAGATTCATAATTATGGATTGCTGCACCACACACTCTATTTTCCTTTCCAGAGCCACAACTCAGGGCTGATGGGTCTTGGACTGGTGGCGCAGAATTTACTTCAAATAAAACTGATAACATAAAAAAACATTGGTACATTTGCAAAACTTAGGGACTTTCTAGCAAACATGAAACATCTGACAGGCGAATTTCTCTGAGGCTACTTACCTGGTTTCACAACAGGGACTGGCGCAGGTTCAAGGAAAGAAAATGATTTTTGAGCATTAATCAAAATTAGTTTCTTCCGATTTGACATGGCCTGCTTTTGTGGGGTGTTAGGTTCTGTGCTGACTCCTGATTGAAAACAATGAAAACAATAACTCTAAGGACAAATATAAATTGCAATAACTGCTACATTAATGGTAGTACTTACGACTAGATGCTGAAGTCAAGCTCGGCGAGTAAGGTACCAAAGGGGTTTGTGGCTTCCGAATGGGACTTGAAGAGACTTCAATGTTTTGAGTCTTCACCCAATCCGCACACAAATCTAGGGGTTCTTTCTCCCCCAGCTTACGGACTTTAGCTAGAGTAAGAGCATCTGCAATAGGGTGAAGAACAATAAATTTGTAAAAAAAAAAGCAAGCAATCGAAAGTTTGATAAAAAACATTCAACCTAGAAATAATTTTGAAGTTACCAACCATTCCACTGATCCTGTTCAGATGTTGTGAGCGATTGGGCAGATGACGAGCATACATCAGATACAGATCTCTCTTGAGCAGACCGTACAGACACAGCACCGTCATTCGGTTCGGCATCTTGAACTTCGGGAACTTCGGCATCTTGGACCTCAGCATCATTTGACGCATCCAAGTCAACATTATTGTATAGACTAGCATCTCCTACGAAAATGAAATCGATAACATTAACAAGAAAATAAAGCACATAACCTCTCCGGCTCATAAGTCACTAGAAAAAAAAAGCGAGTCCAACCTGCTCTTAAAGCTAAGCGTAGGAGAGTCTGCGACCTTTTCGATGAAGCCATCTCCTCCTACGTTTAGAACAACACAATTTCGTCCGAAAAGACCACTGCCATCAAACCAATTAAACAAAGGTCAGAGAAAACGCCAGAAGGCCCGCGCAAAACCACACACCACACACACACGCCCACTTGTTGACTGGAGACTTGGGGTTCGAGGCTCCACTGTTGCCTTCGCTCCGTTCAGGTGCACAAACTTCCGCCAAAAAACTTCTCCCTACAAAAGTAACAGACCTTTACGTTCGTAGGAGAACGGTTTAAGAGTAAATAAAATTGGTAATATCTGAAGGTATTACCCCAACGAAGCTCTTGTTCCTTGATTGTTTATATCGGGGCTAAAGTAGCCATTGATGTTACCATTTTTCGAACAGTGTTGGTTAAACTGCGAGAGGTCAATGACCTCTCCCTTTTGTTTATTTTTGACAAAAGTTTACATCAGTCGACTGACATCTGCTACATGTTTGCAGGGTTGGATTAGTTGTCGCTGAACCTGACAAAGTTCCTATCGTTTATTTTGTGGGTTTTTACTTGCTGTTGAAAATGTCTAGGTGTTCTAATGTTGGGTTGATACTCTACAAAATGTACAAAGATAGGTGCAAGGAGCTGTCTTTGAGAGTTGAAGCGATGCAGAAGAAAATTGATGGGCAAGTGTTGAGCTTATTTTTTCAGGATTAACAGAATAAAAATATTAAAAAAATTGTGGCAAAAGACATCCATTTAAAAAAGTTGTGTGGTTGTATAGCTTGTTATAAATTTCTTGCCAAATTCCAACAGATGTCGCACTTTGTTGGAGAGTGATGTTGATCACCGAAGCAGCTTAGACATTCATCAGGAAAGTGGATGTCAAAATACTTCTCGTAAGTTTTTATTATATTCTATCTTCACCAAGTGTGCACCAAAATGATGAATTCAAAGGAAAACCTAAGCCTTTTTCTCCCTTTTCCTGCAGTATTTGTGACATCAACTCCGAAATCAAGGAGAAAACTTTTTTACTCATCCCCAGATAAAGATTGTCTCTCTGATCAAACTAATACAATGGATGATATTGCTACTAATTTTGAGCCTGGAAGTAATAAGTGGGAGTGTATTGCCGACGAAGACAGGTAATTTCATGGAATTTAATCAATGAGACTACAAAAGATTGTCATGTCTCATGCATTGACATCTACATTCCCTAACTTCACTGTACGTACAACTTTTCCAGGTCAAATTATGGTTTTTTAAAAAATGTTTCAATAGAGGATATGGATGAGACATATTACGAGCCAGAAGACAACCTCAAAAACCAAGTCGAGGATCTGGACAACACATATTATGAGCCTGAAAAGATCCTGAAGAACAAAAACCTCCTGAATGAAGTCACAACATCTAAAAAGTAAGCTAACATCCATATTGTAGTCTCACTACAGTTACTTTAAAATGTTCAATATAAAATATTAAATTTCCGTCTGCTTAGTTTTAGTAGAAAGAATTTTCGCCAAATTTTCTAACTGTGCCATCACTTTTATAGGTCCGAATCTCCTTTACTCAGCACTGAGCTGCCTGATAATGGACCTGCTTCTGCCAAATGCAATTTGTCTCAAAAAACTGCTGTTGAAGTTAAACTGAACAAAAGAAAGGAAAAAAAAGAACACATGAAAGTTAACAACATCCAGTTTTCCCCAGGGTAAGTTCACAGTCCATATCCACATTATTTCAAATTAAAGCCTCTAATTAATGAAGAGAGCCAAATTATATTATACTTCCTAAAAGAGTAAGTTTCTTGAAATATGCCATTCTTATTTTTCTAGTCACATATGTAAGCTGCCTAGATGCCCAAAGCATCAGCCCGTCTTCGTTTCTAGTGTGAGTTCAATTTCTAGTGGTCACCAAACCTAAGATCGAAAACTCAAACTCTATACCTATTTTTTTTTTGTTTACAGTCTCGGAAAA